AAGCAATAGCTAAAAAAATAACAAGGATAAGCAATAGCTAAAAAAATAACAAGGATAAGCAAATTGATGTTGGCTAACCTGGCCTGGGGCTCCGTCAAGTCCGGCAGGTACACCACGTATGCGGCGGCCAGCAGCGAGCGCACGCTTACGTCCACTAGCTCCTTTGATATGTTCTGAAGCTGAGGGTCATAGAAACGAAAATGGATTAATATAAATGTACAATAAAAAACGTATCAAATTGAAAAGTAAGATCTGGAAACAAAGACATTTAAGAAACATATAGACTAGACATAGTGAACGACATTTTTTCCACCGGTAACTTCTTTGAAAGGAACTTTTTTAGTTGTAAAAATTTCACAGGGTCACAAAATAAAATATGGTTAAACATTTAAATTTGATTTATTGACACCTATTTGTAATTAATCTAAATACAATTAATCAAATTGATATGTGCTTTTTAGTGACAGAAGAGTGAAAAATGTCTAAGTGAAGTGTCAACTATGCTTCCTCTATGTTTTTTAATCTCTTTGCTTAGAAGACAATAAGACTAGGTAAATTTGCTGACATCGAGTTCCCAGGCGTCGTACTCGTCGGCCAGCTGGTCCAGCAGGTGGTGTGCGGTGCTCAGCGTCTTCTTGGCCTCGTGCAGCTTGTGCTCGAGCGCGGCGGCGTCGCGGCTGTGCTGGCCCAGCTGCGCCTGCAGCGCCGCCACGCGCTCCTCCACCGTGCTCAGCCCGCTCGACAGCGCACTCATCTCCGCCTCCGCCTCCTGCAGGTTTCTGTGCAAATCATATACTTTGTTCATTAAAAATACAGGATTTACCTATTCATTTTAAAAGAGTGTGTTCAAATAGATTGACAAAAAATGTGATGAAGCGTTACATTCTACTAAGTTATGTAGGATGTCAGCAATCACAATATATTTTTGAATAATTCTATCTAATAGGAAGTCTTACACTGACGACACTTTTACGCTTTTATACTTTGAGGGTAAATAAATTGGAAATACCGTCATACGGGAATACTTTCCCAAAAAGGAAGAACTATAATTCTGTTAATAGCAGCAAAAAAGAAAGTTTGCCATTTTTACTCATAAACAATTCTCAAAGAAGTCTAGAATTTCGTCGTCATTGAAGTATGAATTTACACATTTGCAATTGGAAGTTTTAGGAAATGTAAGCAATAAAATAGTTTATATGTTAATATAGGTAATGTATGCGTACCGGTGCAGCTGCGCCTGCTGCAGCTGCAGCGGCGTGACGCGCGCGAGAGCGGCGGCGTAGTCGAGGTTGGCGCGCACCCAGGCGGCGAGCGGCGCGCAGGCCGCGCTGGCACGCCGCGCCGCCGCCGGCTCGAAGGACGCGCCGCGCCGCTGCACCAGCTGGCGCACCGCCTGCACGCTCGCCGCGCTCACCTGCCGCGCGTCCAGGCATCTGCACGCACACTAACTGTTACATCGTGCGTGCAAGCTTCAACATCTCGATCCATTCACAACTAGTGTCTCCAAAGCAAGGAGGCGCTTAGCTATAGGCTTTTTTTTATTTAAAACATGAATTATCACTGTTTTTGTTATTACTTATGTATCTATTGCCACAAATTTTATATTATTAACTGTTTAGTAGCTCGCTGTAATACCTGATATTTATCTCAGCTAAAAGCCTGCTAAAAACAAAGACTTTTCTTGACTCTCAGTCCTAGTTTAGTTACTTAGGTCAATTAGGCTGTAAATCTTCCATATGTTAAACAAATAAAAAAAAGAATTTTTGGATTTCTCTTTTTTATGCTTACTAAGGTAAAAAATTTTATTCTATTATTGGGCCAAAATAAAATATAACATTATCCACCTGATGTCCTCCTTGACGCCCCGCTTGGACAGGAAGGTCTTCATGGAGTGCCAGGAGGTGTCGGCGATGCCCATGAGGCGCAGCACGCCCTCCAGCACGTCGCGCACCACGTCCGGCGGCGCGCGCAGCGACCGCACCTGCACGGAACAACATCACCTCTTCATTACAGCTGCCGTCTGCTTCTTTATTTACAATACCTTTCGTAAATCGTAGTCTTAAAGACACTGGCAACCTCATGACTTCAATTTACCTCGCTAAGAGCCTCCGGCCGTATATCCCCGACGGCTGCCTGAGCCGCTTTAATTACCGGCTCCACCGATGCTAATTCTGCTTCAATTTCCTTTTTTCTAAAAAGATATACTATTACTATAAATGCGAATGTTTAGATGAATGGATGACTTCTATCCTTTTTATTAAATAAGGGTAGATTTTGTAAATTCCTATAGCGCACCTTATCTGCAGCTTCTCATTCTCAATCTCGATGTTCTTCTTGAGGGCGTGCATCTCCTCCTTCTTGTGGGTGTTGGCGCGCACGGTGGCGCCGATCTGGTCGAGGGCGTGGTTGGCGGCCGCCTGCTTCTCTGACAGCTCCGCCTCCTGCTGGCCCGCCTGCTGCTGCAGCGCGCTCACCTCGCCGCGCGCGCGCCGCAGCGCCTCCACGCCGCTCTGCACACACATCAGAAAAAATTCAAAGAACCCCTTCAAAATATTCCTATCAGAAAAAACTTAGATAACAATATTCCTCTATATAAATCATTTGGTCTGTAAAATTATAAAAGTACGAGATATATTAATTCAAGAGGACAGTGCTTCCCCAATTAAAAAAGTATACTGACCGATAGTATGGTTTTCCTCTGTATGAGTTCGGTCTTCTTCTTACTGAGAATGAAGTAGTATGATTTGACAAAGTTGACGTATCTCAAGGGCGCTCGCAGCCACTCCGCTTCAATACTGTTGTAGATACTAACGAAGCCGTCTATGGGAACACTGTCTATATCTTCTTTTGTAACTTCTGATACATTTTCTTTTAATAACCTGTAATCATCAATTACTTATCAAGACTGTGTTCGAAATTCCGTATTTCAAAGAAGTCCTTAATGGATCTTACATACATCTATAAATAACATATATGAAGGTTAAAGTTAAGTGCATCGGATACTAAATACATACATACTTTAGAAATAATTCTACAATAACGTATGACAATTTTTGTAATAAATATCGTGAACGAATGCGTGCGTAAAGAATGCTATAATGACGTAATAACCTAATGTGCTTTGCAATACCACACAAAGTGCTTCTGATTTTAATTCGATACCTCTGTATTATTAATACGGGCATTTGCCGTAAAGTATCCTCCGACCAACGTTCCAGCCACACAATGTTACTATCGTTGTATAAGAATGGATATTTCTCAAACAAATCTGGTAAGTTCTCTTGGTCTTTGTTTAGCAAAATTACAATTGCTAAATGTTGTTTTATATCTGAAATTACGTTTTAAATATTCAACTACGGGTGCCGTTACGGCACCGAACAGTCGCAGACCCTGCGCGGTCCTTCTTCAGGGCGAGGGTTAATGGGGGTTTTTCGCAGTCGCGTCGTGCCTCGCAGTGCGAGGAAGAAGGACCCCGCGGGGTTTGAAACTGGTCGGTTCAGTCACCGAAAAAAGTAGACGTGAGTAATACCCGTAAAATAAATAGTCATTGTTTATGTATTGAAGAGAGTAATGAGTAAGTAGTTACTGTGCAGCTGCAGCGCGTGGTGCGGGGCGGGAGAGGGCGCGGGCGCGACGTGCGCGAGCAGCGCGTGCAGCGAGGCGGCGCGGCGCAGCGCCTCCGCGCACGCCAGCGCCTCGCGCGCCGCGCACTCCTCCACCAACACTATAGTGCGCGTGCACTCCCCCGCTGACGAGAGAGCCTAGGGAATCATCACACGTTTGATAGAATACAACTATTTTTAACCACCTTAATATAGAAAGTTCTTTGTATGTATCGCTTATGATATGTAATACAATAGGAAAAATTTCTATTTTTGTACGTATTAAATCGGCCCAATAACTTTTGAGCTATAAAAGCTATTGGACCGATTTAAAAAAAATCACCATTAAAAAGCTAAGTTATCAGTAAAAATTTTTTTTATTATTTTTTATTTCATGCTGACGAAATCACGAGGAAACAACTAGTCGCTTATAACTTCACACCATCTGAAATTTTCCGATAAGTCTTAAATTAGCACTAACATTATTTTATGGTTGAAATTCTTTGTAATTATGATTTAGATTCTAAGGGCCTGTCCCACCGGTGGTAGATAGAGGCCCTGATAGTGTAAATATGACGTCACGTCAGATAAAATACAAAATTTCTGTCCCACCAATTTTAAATAGCAGATAACGCTGTGACGTTTTAAATGTCAATGTCATTTTTTTTACAAGCCCCATACAAAACTTTTCGATTCTGTCCCACGGGTGGCTGATAAAGAGTTCTGGATAATGTCAAAATGACATGAATGTCACAATGACGTCAGATATGGTGCAAAATCCAGTCCCACAAGTTTCGGATAGGTAAAATAGCAAATTTACGAGCTCCTAATTTGACTGCCAGATCGAGTGACCATTATCTTTTTATCAACTGGATGAGAAAACTTTCTTTGGTCTTATTTTGAGTTAATACCAATGTTTTGACTGAAAATAGATCTTGTTGAGTTTTGAGAAGATGAATTTACGATTGTCTTGTAATATAACATGAATATACCGTCCCCACAATCACTCAGTAGTGCGAAATTGAGACGATAATCTAGCATGGCAATGGGTCATGTTTCGAGTGACAAACTCTGTACTTTTTGTGTTTTTGAGTTTACTCATGGCAGTGAAGTTTGCATCTTACGAAGTAGTCTTACATGGAACCGTATGGTTACATTATAACAGTAATCCGTTGTCAAAATGACGCTACGCAATTCATTCAACGTAATATTTTGTTGTTAAAATATTTTTTTCTTATTGTATTTGTTAATTTTTACTATTAGCTGTGTTATTATCCTTTGTTAATATAAAAGCTTGTTATGTATTCAATTACGTAAAAATAGACATTTGAGTAAAACTAAACTAAGGTGTCACGTAATTTAGGGCATGGTCTCTTTTACGAACCTGCATAAATAGGAACTTATAAGCATTCGTTGCGACGTTGCCGTTATAGTACTGTTGTAAATTATCAGTGTTATTAATAATGACAGATGTCAGTGGTGGGACAGAAAAATCATTTTATACATTCTGCTATATTACATCTTCATTAATGTCAGATAATTTACGTAAAAGTCATTAGACTATTGCAATACTATCCATTGTTTTGTTCCGCATAAATTTAGTGATAAATAACAATATACCGTTGTCATGGAAACGAAATTCCGATTCGCAATTCATTCCACTTATTTCATTTTATATATTTTATTTTTAACCAAATATTAAAATAAATAAGTGATTTTTTTAATACTTAGCATATATTGTATACAATCTTTTTAAAGAATTTTTTTAGCAGAAAATAGGAAAGATTTATCTTAACATGAAAAATAAATTTTTTTGCAAAACTGCCCGAATATGATTTTTTAAGCGTCCTTGCGACGTTGCCGCTTTTACTAACTACCAGGTTCTTATTTATCGGTATCTTGAATTGTGAAACATAAAAATCCTTTATTTCCGTCACGTATTTTATCTGTTTGATTATTATCAGGCAATTTACGAGAATTTGGTAGTACTGCCCCTAAGTGATGAAGATGTTTGATAGAATATACGTACGTTTTTAAATGTAGTGGCGAATTGTTTGTGCTGCACGGTGTAGAGCGCGGCGGGCAGCGCGGCGGCCAGCAGCGCCGCGGCCGCGCCTCGCCCGCACCCCGCCCCGCCCACACACACGCACACGCCGCCGCTTGACTGAAAATATATCCGGTCGTACAATTAGTACACAACCTGTACACTACAATCTGTAAACGGGGTTTTAGTAAATAAGACTCACAGCTCTAGCTATAACGGGACCCAGGGTGGCCAGCTCTATACACGCTTCGATACCACTTTCAGTAAATACATTGTCGTCACTTTCTGTCACTGCGAACAAAACATTTGGTATTGTTCACTCAATGAATTATGATAAACTTGCTTTCGCCCGCGACTCCGTCCGCATGGTATTGAAAATATAAAAATACTTACAGCATTGATTTATTAGTTTCTGCGTATCCTGATACCACACGTCATATTCCACCGCCTCTAGATACACGCCGTCGCTACGTACTCGCGGTTTGAAGAATAACCTATCATTGTCACCATGCTTTAGATATCGCTTGAATATTACGTTATATTCCGCCTTCTCTTCATCAGAGACTAGTCTGTTTTTAAATATCAAGTCTGCTTCTGCTTTTATCGCCTACAAGTAAAATAGATTAACTAAGTACATGTAGATATTAATAAATATAATTGTTACATCCGCCAGCACGTACCACATGTAATTCAGTGAGAGTGGAGGCTGCGTACCATCTAACACCTTCACACCATTTCTTCAAGTGAGACGCGTTCCATTTATAATGTGGTCGAGCAGTAAATGTTTCAACTACCTATAATTTTAATCAAAAACGTTTAAGTTGAATATAGTGTAACGTTATACGACGAGGAAGTTATCCTTTACCTCCTTGTACATCGCCAACATGTTATCAATCAACTGTGACACTTCTTTTTCGGATATTGTTTTAGATATATTTTCCATTATAGTCTTTCTCGATAATTCGGCAAGTTCTTCATCGTCAGGCTCACTATAAAAGATGATAAACAGAAATTATTAATTAATTATTTAACAATGGTAGAGCTCGCTTTAACATCTTCGTAAGAATGGGGTCGGCTCGCCCCCGCGACCACACAGACAGGCGTCAAGTTGGACCAATTTGGCGAACAGTCTGATGAGTGTGGTGCCGGAGATCTAACGGTCCTTTTATAATTCCACCTTTTTCTTAAAAGGAAAGGATGGGAAGAAGAGGATTTGACGGTGTAGGAGACGCATAGGAAAGGGAAATATCCTCTTTATGTGCGTCTCCTCCTATATCGATTAAGCGAAGGAAATGAATGTCTATTGGCAGCTTTCGCTTCGCGTAATATAAAAAGAATACAAATCGAACTTCTAAATTTTTATAATTAAAATATTCATCAAGCATGTTATCTAAATGGCTATCAATTCTGTAGTGTCTTACGTGAAGACGATTGTCTGCAGGAGAGCGGCGAGGCGCGGCGCGAGCGCGGCGGCGGCGGCGGCGGCGGCGGCGCTGGCGTCGGCCGTGGCCACGAGCTGCGGCTGCGCGGTGCGGCTCCACTGCGCGCCGCCCTCCTCCGCGCACCAGAACCCGCCCTGCTGCACCAACTGCACCACACCACACCACACCACACCACAAACTAGTAGACTCATACAACTGAATACCCATATTTTACTACATACATTGATACTAAAACTGTATTAAAAAAAATAGAATGGGCATTTTTGACACTTCATGTGAAACATTCTACACATAATCTCATTAACGTTAACTTGTCAATAGGTATCGGTAAATAATATTTAAACGTATACATTTTATTTTTACACACAGTTAAGTTTATTTTAATAACAAAAGAAAGAGTTTATCATCATTTTTAAAAAAATATTGGGACACGAGGTAGCAATTTGACAACTGATATAGTACTTTCAGAGAAAGTACCCGTCAAAATTTTCATTAATCACTATGCCTGGTCTATATATTTCTTAAATGCTTAAACTGTAGAAAGTACCTGCAGTAGGAAGTCATGCAGCGCGCAGGAGCCCCAGGCGTCGCGGCGCGCGCGGTGCAGCCCGCGCACCAGCAGCGTGAAGCGGCCGCGCGCGCCGCCCCCGCCCCCGCCCCCGCCCCCGCCACACCGCACCACATTGCTCTGGAAAACAACACTACTATAGTTAATAACAGAAATCTTAACATTTTAACCTATATTTGTGACTGTCTGCGAAAACTTGTAATCAGCCTTCAGTTTTTCGCTAGCTATTGTAAGATAGCTGAGTATGATGAAATCTGATATAGATGATGTAGGAGATATTTTGCAAGGCTACTCTTTTTTTTTAATTCCACGCAGACAAAGTCGCGGGCGAAAGCTAGTCCATAAATAAATGCAATCAACTTATACTTGAATATAACTTACCCTTCTCAATTCTGCAATAATATCCGCCGGCTCCATAATAGGTGTACAGTCGATCGTTACTACTGTCGAATTACATTCCTTTAAAACATATTCGGCCAAGATACTGAAAGGAAGATCAAAAAAGGCGTTTAGCGTTTTAAACGAGAGAATGTGAAATAATAGCAGAGTTTTACCTACCATTAAAACTCATATTATGTCCGGAGC